CCCAGCAGTGAATCTGGTGATTAAAGTTTGGTTATAAACCAGTTGCAGGGATTGAACTTCACTGAATTTTGTAAAAGTGGTTCAAGTTTGAATGCAACATCAGAACCCCAAACACCTGATTTTCTACTTTGGTTAAATGTGGACTCACATATTAACGTTTTGGGTTGATCCATCTCTAATTATCTGGATGAAATAGTATGTTAGAACCGCTTTCTGAGCCTTGTAGTGTACTCCACTGAACAAAAGGAAATGCAGGTCCCATTTGCCATTTATACCTTCCTTGTTCCCTTTCTTGTGGCAAACGTTTTTGGTATGAGTTCCATGGGTCTTTTAATTGGGGCCTGCCTACAGTATGTGCAAACAGTGCCGAGACCCAGAGATCAGTGACCACTGACCCTTCCTCCATTCCTGCCATCACCTTGGTTTCGCACTGAAACACCCATTCAAAGGAAGTATTTGTTTCTTGGACCACCAAATGTTTTAAGAAAGGTTTATACCTCGGGGGTTCTGTAGTAGATTCCAGCAGGTTACTTCATTAAATGTGCATATCAAATTTGATTGGAAGTTCTCATCAGCTTTCTGTTCCATTTAATTTTATTTTTATACAGATGAAGAAATTACTGTTACACCCATACTCACTGACAAGCCAACTACATTACTTCACATCTACTTTATAACCACATATAATTACATAACCTCTCGGTTTATTTTCTTCCAGAACTCATGGCTCCTCATAGAATCTGTTCCATCTGATCTGAGAGGCAGATTTTGGCCTAAAAAATGGTTTTCAAGACATTTACATGGTTTGGGTTTTTTCCTATATTGAATATTCCACATTTATTAACCACAATTTGATTCAAGCAGAGCAGCAAGGCCTTCACTGATACAGTCTGGGGAGGCTGTGTTAGTGAAAGAAAAAGACAAGCCCATCATCAGTTCTGCATAAATCTCATTATCCTGGGAGAGCTTCCATCATTTCAGCCCCACACTGTAAAATCTCTCTTAGCACAGTGTGTTCCCTCCACTTCGTTCCTCTTTAGTTATAGGCACCACAACCGCTTTCCCATCTAAAATTTCAAATCAGCATTCCTCCTAAAAACTTCTTGTTCTTCATCAATTTCAAAAATACAGCAGACAGAATTGCAAAGTATTCTCACTTCACTGCATGAAGGGCTACCTTGCATAAGAATGGGGCTGGCAGATTACATTCATGTCAAAGCACATAGCTGGGTAACTAAAAATAGTTAGAATGAAAATTAGTATCTGGCAGTTTTTGCAGGACCATAGTTTTATGCCAGTACAAACTCACTGAAATCAATTAAGGCAGATCACTGTAAGGCTGGAGCGTAACTGTGGTGAACTGGGCCCTAAGATTGTTTTTAATGCTCATCCCAAGTTACAGCCTTAAACACATATTCATAGACCACAGGGTCCATTTGTTTTAATTTATCGCAACAACGATAAACAATCTGGCATAAACATATTCTTTCTTCATTCCAAGAAATGCGATGCACCCCTTAGACCTCAGAGAAGGCACCAGGAAGAGCAGATGTTCACCCCTTCTTGTCATCAGTCCCTGGTCTGGAAGTATTTTCATATATGATCTTATCAACTTTAAAAGGAATGATTCAGTCTTGCAGCCCACCCTTCCATCAGTTTTATTTATTTAAATGACTAGAGCTGCTGAAGGTCTGATAAAGAAAAGCTGCAGTACCAGACTCCTGAATTCTTATTTGCTTATATAACGCAATTGTCTATTGCAGAGTGCATGGAGAGACGCTTATAACAAACTAAGGAATCCCATTTTCCGTCAAAAAAAAAACCCACTTCCACATGGCTAGATGGCTGCTGCTGGCAAATTAAAATAGCTGAGGCAGTTGAGCACCAGCGTTTCTTGCACTCCTTTAGCCAGTGATAGAAATAGTGGTTGTGTTGGACCGCGACTGTTCGATTCATGGGAGTGGGCAGGGCTCTGCGGGGTCTCCAGTCCAACCTCCTGTTCAGAGCAGGCGTAGCGGGAGCAGGCTGCGCAGAGCCTTGTCCAGCCTGTTTTGAGCATCTCCAAGCATGGAGATGTCATGCCCTTCTGGGCAACCTATTCCATGGCTTGGTCACTTCCACTGTAAAAATATTTTCCTTTCACAAAGCCAGAATTTGCCATGTTCCAACTTGTGTCTGTTGCCTCTTCTCCAACACCCCATCTCATCCCATTGTAGACTATTTTGTACAACACTCAAAATCAGCAGTTTCACTGAGCTCTACTGAAAGACGCAATGGGGTGGGACCATTTAGCGTATGGGCATCGTGAAACAGATCACCTTCTCACCTCCCACAGCACTACAGAAACGAGGAAGAAACTACTTTGAGATCCCCTACCAGAGACTAAAACCCCCAAAACTGGTGACTGCAATAACAGGACTGCCAGGGCATGATTCTGGTGAGGGATCAGGCACAGTGGGGCCATGGGGTAACACTGCTCCTGCCCAGGGCAGTACCTCTCCTGCATACACATGGGACAGCGCTGCTGCTCAGAGCGGTCAACCAGAAGCCACTTCTTGCCTATAGCCCAAGACATATGCTGCAGTGGCAGAGGGGAAAGCAATCCTCAGAGCAGATGTGATTCATGCTCACCCTGGACAGTCGTTCTTCACCTCAGCCTGTGCCGGACTGCATCCAGGTTACACACACTAAAATCACACACCTAATCAGGCTTTGCAGGGATTAAGCGGAGCCAGAGCTGAGGAATCGCCTAGGCCAGATGAACACTGCCATACGAAAGCAACACCAGCATAAATTGAAATAATTTATTTACCACTAGAGCACCACAAAAACAGACATACAATGTGTTAAAATACAGAGTAATCGATCACCGAAGTACAACACAGCTGTCCTTTAAGTTCCTTTTTTTTTTTCTCCTTTAAACCATGCCAACCATACAATTTTATTGATGCTAAACACATAACAAAATGCTGTCCTACCCCACCCAGCGAAGTGCTAAGATTTCCCCTCAGCCCCAGCCAACCCCTTGGGTCTGAGCTTTCAAGGTGCTGAACATTTCCCAGCAGTTCCCAGGGACTTCGCTCAGACAGTGGCAATTACTTCATGGAGATAAGGCCTCTGGCACAAAGTCCTTGAGCTGTTGCAGATCCATCATTCGAGGGGGATTTATATCAGACCTGAGGGGTGCTCTAGGATTCCCATTACCCCACTCTGTAGAGGGGAATTTCACTCATGAGTTCTGCACATTGTAGGATCAGGCCTAACATTCTTGGTAATTAAAGGGAAATACATGCCTAATAAACAAAAAAAATAATTGTAGGAGCTTTATAGTAGAGTATTTCAAATACTATCAGTGCATTTTGAGGAAAAAAAAAAAGTAAAAAAAAAAAAGAAGTATTCTTTCCTGGGATAATGACTTACAGAAATAAGGTTTTATACTTAAATTTAGAGAAAAACTCCAAACCCAAACCGAAATCTTCAGCTGCGTCCAGCGCATAGTGAGTATAGTTGGACAACCATGCTATCTCCTATTCCGCTTTTTCAAAGCTTCGAAACAGGTTTTGAACTGCATTCCCATGGCAGAGATTTGCAAAAATGTTTTTAAGGTTTTTAAAATGTGTCCATCCTTGTCTCCTTTCCTGTCCAACAAAAATACAGCTCTCATACTGAACCTGATAAAACTAATTTTGCTGCCGTATACAACAAAATCCAGAGTATTTACTACCCTGAGGAGTTTCACTGAGTTCACTGCATCTTCTCACTGGAGTAAGTCTGGCTCAAACAAGTGTTAGCAGGACAGATTTTTCACTTGTTCATCTCAACTCACTAAATAAATCAGAAGTCTAACATACCTCCTCCTCTGCGCTGAGTCAACGGGTGGGATTAGATCATCTGTGGGGCTATGTTTCCATCTAGGCAACAAGCACAGGCTCTACCGAAGTCCCGAGGAGCTGCGCGTGCAAGCTGCTGCGGTACTTCAGCTTTGCATCGGTGTTCTGCTGAAGCCAAAGAAATTGCACTTCTTAAAACTGGAGCTGACAACATCAAGCTCAGGAGCGTCCTCCCGACACTGCTCGCTCGGGTCAATGACAGAAAATGTCCTTCTCATCCAAGTAGTATGCTTTTAACACAGTTTTCCAGCTTTGCCGTGGATAAACCATTCATCATGTGAAATGAACTGAATGTGCCGCCTTCACGATTTTTTTTGGTAACTTAGGTTGGGGCTTTTTTTAAATGGCGAGTATGATGTGGATTTTTTTTTTCTTTTACTCCCTCTACAATATTTAAATGTGTAACAACAACAAAATCCTAGGAACCCCATGTTCCTTTTCCCTTTTCTTTTTTCACAAGAAGCTTTAATGTGAACTCAACTGAAAAAAAAAAAAAAGGCAAACTCACAAAAATCAAGGGTCTGATCCTCCTGATCTTTACACACACACCAGTCACCTAAAAGGGCCTGCCGTGCCGCTGCAGAAGTTCAAGGCAAAGCTCTGTTATCTGCAGTAGGAGCAGGCTCGGTCCCACGGACTAACCGCCGGGGCAAGTCCCCGCTGCGTATGAGGCCGACGCACGGCCTCCGACCCCAAACCGATCCCGCTCACGCCCCATTCGGGGCATCGCTGCGGCAGATGCTTCCTACCAGCCTCCTGCACAGTGGTGAATGTCATCCTCTGCAAGGGATTGCCTCGCCTCAGCCAGGCTGGGACGCCTCTTCTTGCGACACCTCGCTCCCTGCCCATCTGTTTGAATGTCTATAGCCAAAAGGAAATGAAAAGGTCTAGGAAGCCGAACCGCATCGCGATGCAAGCGTTACAAGCGGGGACAACCAAGGAGGGAGGGGAGGAGGCGGGAAGAGATCGCTCTAATCCATCCTTTTTATAAACCAGAAAAACAAATGGAGTCAGGTAGCTTATGTCATAATGATGAACAATATACAAAGCACATGTATAGCAATTATTATAAAACATGTATTTGTAGTGCAAGTCAAAATATAGGGACTCTACTCATACTGGCCAGCTAGAGGGAAACACGTGATTCTGAGTGATCAAAAAGAGCCCCAAATTCAAATTCAAACTCATGAGAGCTGACAGTATTACAGAGTACAAAAATATGGTGAAAATTTACACATTACACATAAAGTACTTAATTTTTTAATAGTTTACAAATAGAGATCTACAGATATGTTTCCAATTAAGCTGGCTTTTACTACCCACCTATTGTAATACTCTAGGTATGGTTACATATACCAAAAGAACAAAAAAATCCCATAGCATAGCTATACAGCAACATATTAAGGTCTGAAGATTAGACCAGTACATGTTAAATATTTCACTGGTTTACTAAACTGACATTTTAAATCATTTACAGTAAAAAAAAAAAATCTTATAGACTTGTCTTTGAGACTGAAACAGAGTGTCCTTTATTAGTAAATTATTCAGTATTTAAAACAAGGGTTTGAGACCTTACAAGAAGCCTCTCTAGGCAGCTGGCATGAAAAAAAAGGTATTTTAAAGGCAGAGTTTCTCAATAATGTAATAACTGATTTCTATTTTAATTGAACTAAACTAACCATTACTTTTCTGATTCTTGTGAACTTGTGTTCCTTTAGGCTTTATATATATTTCTGGCCGCTTATTTGGTCTCCACTTTGTCCACATTGGCTGGTTTTCTTTTTTCCAATGGCGATACAGAAATGTTCATTTGATAGTTTTTACACACAAATAAATAATGCACTGTTAACTCTACAACTAAGAGGAATGGGTAGGATGCCTATTGCGTAACAATACAGAGAGATCAAGTAAGGCACGGGACAGATACAGCAACTCCACTTCATGGGATTTTCCTGTTTTTTTCCTTTCACATAGTAACACTAACAAATTTCTTCCAGTGTTTATTTTTTAAAAGGTTTTTTTTTTTCTTTAACTTTGCTTCTTGTCTATCTCACACTATGTGTACGTGAAATGTAGGATAAAGGCCTTCAATGTTTTGCTTCAGATGCCAGTTTAAAAAACAAAACAAACCAAACTTTCAAACAGTTCAGACTAGTACCGCTTTTTTTTTTTCTGCTTTTTTTTTTTTCTTTTAACACTGATGAACCTGGGGTTTCATTTTTCTTTCTTTCCTTCTCGCTCTCTCTTTCTTTTCTTCCTTTTTTTTTTTTTTTTTTTTTTTTAATACACACACGTCATGCTGTTTCAGGGCTATCCTTTAGCTGCACTTGCAGGACTTTACGATCATGTTGGACAGCTGTTCGATTTTGGGTGTTTTGCCAATGTAGTAGAGGATGGTGAGGGGTTCCAAATCCTGGGACACGCAGCACGGAGAAGCAGAAGCTTCTGGATTTATGGTGTTATACAAGCTGAGTACCTAGAAGGAGAAAGGGAAAAAGAGAGATGAAGACAGCTATACCTCTGCTTTCCTGCCACTGCAGAGCAAATTCCTTTCTGCACCGCTTCCTCCCACAGCGCCTGAGAGAAAGCCCACTGAAAGCAGTATGAAGATTCCTGGATTTTAGTATTTTTTATGCTTCTCCAGTTCAATCTGGTGTCACAATCTGCCTGAGTTTCCTAAGGTTTTATCTATACGGTCTTAAACCCCAAAGCAGGTACACGCCTGGAGCCTGCCTTGAAAGCATAACCCTTGAATCGACAGACAGACTGTATTGATATGGAAAGAAAACACTTAAAGGTTTTTATCTGTGTCTTCAGATTGCCATACGATGTTACAGGATTTTGGCTTTACAAGTACACGAAAGGGAGAAGAGAGCCCTTTAGAGCATAAGCATGCCTCTGCTTTTCCTCTCTGGCTACGTTTTACTGAGTCCATTAGTGCCACCCTGCAAGGACCAGGACTAGAGCTGCAGTTACTCCTGTTGAGAATCAGCTGCGGTGAAGTTAGCAGCACTGGTGCTTTATGTCACGTTGGATTCGTACACATGGTTCTCTGCAAGGGAAGTATGTGGGGTTACCCACCGATGATGCACAGGTATTTCTGAGGATGCCATTAATGTGTTAGCCAAACACCAAGTGACCTTTTCCTAGAACTTCAACACAACATTTACAGCTTAGAGAGACAGAAGATCTGTTCAGGATAGCAACACTACCTACTTTATTAAGCAACTTCTGACTCCTTGGGCAACTATCCAAACCACATATTTGTGACCATGACAGTTATTCTTCCTCTTTCCTTTAAAAACAAGTGCTGCTCCAAACTGTGTACGCTACTACTCCACACCAGCAAGGAAACATACTTACCTTATTTATACCTCTGCCTGCTGACATTGCTAATAGTGCAATGGCAAAGCCAGTCAAAGCTACAGAGGATATCTATACCTGGGTCTATAAGATCAGGAAGAACACGCTATTGTGGCTTTACAGGTCGAAGGCAAAGCAAGCTGCACCTTGGACACTGCCCTGCTGGCTGATGTTGATCTGGTATTTTAAGGGAAGCTTGAAAAATGGGAGACATCATTCTTACTACGGAGCTGAGAGTGAAACTCTTACTTTATGACAACTGCAATGCAAATGTCTGCCTCTTGCATTTACTGTCTAGACATCCTTATTGACAGCTGAGAGAAATAAGGACTTTACAGCAGAATACTACTCATCCTAAGGCAGCTGGCTAAAGCGCCACATCTAATCCATAAAACAAAAAGTCCTATCTCAGACAACTCTCCTTCACATATAAATTTTCAAAGTACAAGAATGAATACATCTTTTGAAGTAAAACAAGCACATCTATCAGTACATTCTCATGAAATTCAGCATGGAAGCATATCAGTAACAATGAAAAATGAAAAATGGCAGGTCATAAAAGCAGGTGATAATCAGGTGGTAAGACTCAGCCCTTTTGTTACTCTGAAAGCACCTCCCTCATTGCCTCTGCTGACTGAAGTCATTGGGCCATCTTCCATTCATGCTCGGTAATGAGAGGTCCCTTCTCAGGCAGCCTCCCAAAGCTACACCAAGCTCATACTCACAAAAAGCATTCAATCCATCCATACGTCAATCTGATGAACACATTAAAAAAAAATAATCTCTGGGCCAATACGTTCCTACTGATTCAACACTAGCTTGAGGACATGTGCGAGTCCCTCTATAGGGCCATATTTCATCATCCTTAGTCATTGAGACAATAAATGCAAACTTTGGGCATCGGTGCTGATGTCAGTCCTAGAAACATATTTCAGCCTGCAGTTATAAAACAGAAGCTGAAAATAATCATTACTTACTCTGCTGTGCTGAGTATCTGAGCTCCATAAATATGGGCAGGCTCCTGCACAGAAATTAGCATGATATCCTTTAGGTTCATGAATCCATTTCCAGCCAAGATCCCTCTTGAAGTCAATATAAAGTGGACGCAGACAGCAATTATCTTGCACATTCCTGGGAAATAAAATACAGACAAACACATTGGTCACAACAAAGACAACATGGGGAGTAAAAATTATCTAGTTGCTTGATCCCTGAAAGATGCTTTACAGGCAGGCAAGTCTGAGTCCCAAAAATTCACAACCAAATCACATCAATAGTAGCTTATACTGTAACAAATCAGACAGTCATGGCAGGACTACCTTATACGGACAAAGCTAACGATTTCCCTGGAGGACTATTAAGTATTTTTCTCCAGGTCCTACGAGTGGCCTTTTTGAGCAGATGAGTACAGCGGAGGTGGTAATTTGGCTGTAATTATGGGGCTGATGAGTCTGGGCATCATCCCAGATGGAACTCAGCTTCTGCTTTCTAAGGCCACAAGCTTCCTCATCTGCGGGACTGAAGACCACTGGGCAGATACCTGCTGCACGCAGACCCTGTGGGTCTGCAAATGAGGATCTGGGCTCTGTATAAATGCCACCCGTACAGAAACATGATAAGCAACTGCATTGCACCTCACAGGCTGGTACTACTGTGTAAGTATACTGAATAGGGACACATAGTTACCTAAAACAATAGGCAGCATCTAGAGCACGCTTCTTCCGCCGACTGGGCTGTTGCGACTCAAGTCTGTAGGAGGGTAATAACATTAGCAGAAGATGTGGGGTCTTCCCACTGTATTTTTTCCTATTGGACTTTAAAGCTTTCACATCACCACTGGAATATGTGTAGTCATCAATACCTTCAAAAAATACATTTTGGTGATAAACATTGTGTTGCTTTTTCTTCACAAATTAAATAAACCACGTCTTTAAAAAAATTCTCTCAGAAACTGGGCAAAGATGGTGTCAGATGAGCATGTTTACTGGGAAAGTGGGGACAAATTTCAACCCGAGATCCTTAAGACAGTCAGACTTCTCATGTCATCTATTCTATCAGCCCTCCCACATTCACAGCCATTTAATGGCATTTGAGTACATTTATGAGAACTGTTGAAATGAGTAACAGGAAAGATTACTTCAGTCACTACATCTGCATTGCTTAGTTTCAAATGCCCCAAGCAGTGATGCTTTTGTCACTTCACTTAGGGCATGTACAACTATGTACTTTTTAAAACCTTGTAACACCATTAAAGCTGCTCTGGAAACTTCACCTGCATTTCCCACTCCATTCCATTAGTTTTCTCTATCAATCCCATTTACCTTTTTCTAATGCTTGTAAGTTCTCTGTCTACCATTGCCAGTTTATTTAAATCTGCTATTTTTTTCCCAGCAAGTCAGTTATTCTAGCCCCTTCTTTTGTATAGGCATGGCAAGGACACTGATCAAAATATTTCTTCTTGAAGTGGCAATCAATGACCTCACATTTTGTATTTTCTCTTGAAACACTAACTGCCTTACTAGCTTCTTATGATGGCAATAGCACAGGGAAAAGACTCAAGGTATTAGCCTTTTTTAGGAGTCCAGACAGCTCATGTTATTCCTGTTGCTGAAACCCTTTTGAAAATTAACCTCCTGAACCAGATAATACTATATAAAAAGATACACTTTTACTTTTGTAACATTTGCAATTACAGTGACCAAATATCATCCCAACATTTTTTTAAATACACACAATGGCTTTAATCATATGTACAGTACATGTATGTACTTAGACAAAAAATTCCAATGCAGTGAAACAATGGTTAGACAAACTTAATACTTAAAAAGGAATATAGCCAAATCCTTGGAAAACAAATGAACCAAATCATGATATACTTTAATAAATGAGAACTGCATAAACAGAATTTGGGTTGGTTCTAATATAGCCATAGTTTTATATGTACTGGTGGATGATAACTATAGCATGGTCAATTAAGTAACATTTCCCTTTTTGAAACCGAAACTTGAATGGCTTAAAAACACAAGGGAGCTTATGTGGCTTTGATGTATTTACTCTGTATCACCTTGTCTGCTGTCCATAAGAAGCACGTATATCCATAACCCTAACTACACGCTGCTGTTTATTTTTTAATGCTCACTCAATCCAATCTCTAAGTTTTTACCAAGTTAACTGTCAGCATAAAAAATACTTTGTGTAACTAATATACAAATACATTGCAATAAAGTCTACGTGCCAATGTAGATATATAGAGATAATCAATGTTAAACAATGTAGTTCTGGTGACTTCACCCGAGAATCACACTTCTGCTGCTGAAATTAGGAGCGCATAGACAGGCACACCATTGCCGCTTCTTCAACCCACAATGTGCTGGCAGTAAAACACTGTAGGACGTTTATACAAGCCTGGCACCAATTGTTCAGATCTCCCCAAAGTGACTGATGCCATTGTTCAGAATAATTTAAAGTATTACTGATATGACCAGAAGGAAAAACAAACAAACAAAAAATCATAGCTGGAGATATTTAGTGTGCCTGAAGAGCTGCAAGTACGTGTGCAGGTACTTACAAAGACTGGGACCCTCTACTCTCATAAGGACAAAGGAAGGTGCTTCTGCAAGCAAAGCAGACAACTGTTGCCTTACCTACACTTTGGAAATTTGCCACAAATGTTGTTTAACACTCGCAAAACGCACCATGCTCACACACATATCTACTGCAAGCAGCTTACATGTGAGTCAAACACCACTCTAATTCAACCTTCCAGCAGTAGTCGTCTCTACTAAGCCTGACCGTTACAGTGCAAGGATGGACAGCAGTCAAAGGGTTTATTTTGAACATATTTGGCAATTTTTCTCATGACTATCCAACAGTGGATGGTCTACTGTACAACAGTCTTCCCTACATCCAAAATGGTACGTATACGCAGTGTGCATGCTGCAAACTGTAGCACAGACACTTAAGGACATTGAAGCAGCACACATGGAATGAGGTGGCTGATTCATGCCATCTGTTTTCAGAATAGTTCAGCTCATTTAATTTTACCCTTGTGCCTTCAATACCACTTCCTAGCAGCTGATAATAAGAGTCTCAAATGAGCAAATTTTCAATCAGCTGAATGCCACTTAGAGAGGCAGTAATGGCTCTTTGTTTCCCTCCTCAATTAGTGAGTACCACAACATTTTAAAAAGTCTTTTTTTTTCGTTACCTGCAAATCTTGCTTCAAGCTCCTCACTTTTATTTGGGATGATATAATTATTGGAAGGCACGAAGGTGCAACACGGACAATGTAAACTTATCTTAAATCCAAGGTTCCTGTCTGCAAAACACAAAAGTGGAGTTGGTTTTTACACGTGGAATGACCCTGAAATACTGTTGAGTTACTGGAGGAGCAGTTGGGGCAGGAGTGAAGGCAAAGAGCACTTGTTGTCACCTCTGTGATGGAGCCACTCATGTACAGCCTCGGTGACATCAAAAGATAACCATTCTCCTTCAGCTCTTGTTTTAACTACTTTGCTGTCGATGTAGCGCTGTCCTGGTGATGATAATTCTTTAGATTTTAGAACCTGCGAGAAACAATAAATATGATTGCCTACAGGTTAACATTTACCTGTTTTTTATTACATAAACCACCAACATTATAAAATAGCAGAAAAAAACCCTATTACAGCTCAAACCTTTATGCAGCAGATGTACATTCAGGCCTGGTTTCAGAAATAATTTTCTTAGGGTGTGCAGGGAGAGAAAGTTGATATAAAAACACCCTAATGAAATCAGCTTATGCTCCCAAGCGAAACATGCCATCACATATTCGTTCCTAAGAGAAATTACACAGAAAGACTGCCCTGAAAACTTGTCCTGCAACACAAGTGGTCAAGAGATCATAGTAACTGGCACATCAAAAGAGGCTATTTTACCTTCTTCAGTAATACTTACACTGGTTAGAGCATAATGTCAGATGCTAAAGTAAAGCCTGTACAATGTAGTCTGTACACTGACAATATTGTAATGTTCACTCATAACTAACGTGTATGGTATTGCCTTATTCATGCTTCCAGCTTTCCCTCTGACTTCAGTTACTAGTCACACATTAAACAGAAAAAAAGTTATTGTCCATACAGGTAATGTGGGGGCATGCAGAGACAGCCTGGGGTGAATCATGACCACACATGCACTTGTGCAACAGGCGATGCTGCTCACATCCAAACTTTGATGCCCGCTGTATTTGTATTTGTGTCAAAAGTTTCACCAACGCTTCCTACTGAGAATGCAATAAAAAAAATACCCGTACAAAACCCAGCCAGCCCCTCCCTTTCAAGACACAGCACTGAGTGCCTAGAATTTCAAGTGCCCACAGCCTTCCTCCTATCTAAACAATTCAGCGAGTGCTTTCCCACATACAAGCACAGCCTGCTATTATTTACCCTAACACTAGGATGAAAACAACCGGACTTCTGGCTGCTAACAGGTTTCTGGTTTCCTGGTTATTACTATGTTGATAGTTTTGCGATGCAGGAAGCTGGAATGCCATGCAACATTAAGCCAACTCCAACCAAGATACCACACGATAACATCGCTTTATAACTTCTGGCATGCCAGTCGTGCGACTTCATATGTTTTTTTGTGTTCTTCCTCTCTTTAACCATCCAAGTCCATCTCCAAATGAATAACTGACAATGTCTCATTGTTTCCTCCTATTTTCTCAGCCCGGACCAACCTGACATCTAGCAAACGCTCCTGGAATCAAACAATGGTGAAACTGCATAATACGTGTAAAGAAAAATATTTCAAAAGAGGTGTGAAATTATGTCATCATGATAAAATTAGGCGTTTCATAATTAAACAGAAAAGAAGGCTTGAAAAGGCCAGATTCTGTCCAACATGCAGAGTCTCCCTTGTTTATTTCAAGGGAGTCCTGGCCCCCTCAAAGGCCAACCGTACAGCTCCCAAAACAGCATTTGTCTTATGAGAACAACAGCAGCATGACATGGTCTTTGCCTTCCTTCTAATCAACACATTTAGCAAAAAGACATGAGAAGATGTTGGTTCCCATCCAACAAATTACTAAGTGCCCCTAGTAGGCGATGCTGAGTTTTCCAGTAGGAACTGAAGGCAGTCAGACACCGAACATTGGGACTCCTTTTTATGAGGCAACCTTCAAACAAAGCATTTGAACAACTGTTTACAGAGAGTCTGGCAGCAGCAAGGGGACTACCATTGCTCAGAAGTGCCAGAGGGATGAGAGAATCAGTAATCAATGCTGGGAAAGTCCCAGAGAAGTACAAATATAACTTTGCCTTCCCTTTGGTCTTTATCAGGTCAGCTCAAGTGTTTCTGAGGATGTAATGCAGCTGTCATTCTACAAAGATGTGTTGGGGCGGGGGGTATGTGAGGCAAATGGGACACAAGAACTTGGCTCATTTCTCTTCCTTTCTGCACAGTCATATCTTTCCAAAGACTCCAGAAACTGCATACCTCAGTTTTGGCAGTCATGTAAGGATCTAAAAGTAAGTAATGTGCCAAGAGCAATCTCCTGATGTTAACTATAATTGGTCTTAGATATGTTCTGAAGACTCAGCTGTGCCTTCGTATCTAAAATAAAACGTCTTTATCCCAATCCCACTGCTACCAAAAGACAAAGTTGAGGGCTGGCAGCATATACCTGGCATGAAAGGCATTTGTAAAAGTGCAAGAAATCATCACTGCACGTATCCAATGGTACAAAGAACATCCATCCTCAACGATGAACTGAATGACAGGGAAAGTGTCTGCAGTTGTCAAAACTATAGGGCACTGTGGGACAGGGCAGACACTGTAGATTATGAGAACTACATATTTTCTATACTATGGTTATCTATGACGTTTGAAAGTAAGTCTTCTCTCCATGGTGTTTACACTGCATGTTCAGGAAGAAAATTATGAAGAATGAGCTAAAAAGTCACGAACTAAGTATGGCATAATTTCCACAACTGACATCAGGGGTTAAACAGGCACTAGCAGTTCTTAATTGAAAGGCTGTTAAGTGTGATGAGTGCCATACTTAGTAAAATTAGCATGTCTGCTTCAATCGTCTTCTCCTGGGCTATCTTTACGGTGTTAGGGTGGTGTATGATCTTAACAACCTGATTGCTTGTACACAAGAATGATCTTCTATGCTGCATTCTATGTTTGCATCCACACTGAAGCAATGGCACTCTACATGGTGGCAAACAAAGTGGACTTTTTGTAGGAACCTATCAGAATTTTTTACAGCTACAATATGTTCTTCAAATGAGTCTTCCAGAAATTATTACATGAGATAAGCATTTTAGGTTTTCTCTGCCGTTTTCCCCCTTGGGCTTGCTTCTCTGTACTTTGCACTACATTTCTGGTCTTACCTTCCCCATCAGCAACACACGTTTTTCTTCCAATAAACCCTCAAGACTACATTCCCACCGAAAAGCTTCTCTTTCAGTATTTCCAATCTTCTCTTTCTACTACATCAACTAGCTTAATTGTAAAAAGGAAGAAAAGCCTTTTCTGTGCCTTGCAGCTTTTGTGCTTGAAAGCTTGCCTACTTCTTCCAACTATACTGATTGGTCTTAGAAGAGATATTACCTTTACCTATAAACATTGCCTTTCCATGCCTATAAACACTGCCTTACCTTTATCCTTCTCCCATTGCAACCACATCAAACACTGTTATCAGAAATGTTGCTGCACAACTTGTATCTGCAGGAGCTAAATGAAGGCCTAAAAAGCAGTTCTTTGTGCAAAAGAGCTTTCAGTGTACTAAATATATTAACAGGAGACAGGGGAAAAAAAACCCACAGGAGAGAAGGAAGACTGAGTTAAACTTCCCCTTTAATCCTTTCTCATTTCCTTCTGGCACCTTGTCCAAACACTCCCTTTTAGAGAGGCAGAAAGAGTTTGGTATGCCTACGGGTCATGGATAGTTAACCATGGATGGTTAGGGCTTTTGGGGCAGGGGGAGTACCGTGCATCACCACCTGCATGTAGAGATGACGGAGTCATTCACTTGCACAAGCAGGAGGCAGAGTTTACACACACACACACAGCCTCAAATCCCTCACTTATGAGTGACACACTTACACATCTGCATGCACAAGCAGCTGGCAATGCACAGCAGCTGCCCGTGTGCAGGTGTGAGTGTGCATGCCTTCACACATGCGTGAGTGAAAGCTCAAAATCAACAAACTCAAAATTCAGGCTGTGCAAAATCTCTGCAGCTTCTGAACGTGGGGAAGTTCTTCCAGGTATATCTGTTTATTTGGTCTCGCTTTCAAAGAGCGATAATGCAGAGCTGACTTTTCTAATAAAGGATTACACTGGGAACATATGCATATGATCGCATTATGTGAGGATGAGCTGAATAGGTAGAAGTGTTACCAAAAGGTTATCCAGCAGACTTCTACCCCAATTTGCAGAGTAATTTCCATTCAGTAGCAATGCTTGAAATTCTAAGAACAATTTGGTTTTGTCTACCCTCTTTTTGTATGGGATTCCTCCCTTTCACAGAAAATCACATAGTTAGCCAAAATTCTTGCTAATCTCTTCCTGACAAAGTATCTTGTACACTTAAGCCCTGCCTTCTAGCTATCTTTTTCTATGGGAACTGCTAGCTTTCCCCTCATAATTTTTTTTTTTTTTTTTCTATTCTGACCCTTCTTAAAAACTCCCGGGGAAAAAATTATCTTACAAATACCCGTGGAAGATCTCCAGGTATCACACACATTCAGCCCCTGCCAGCAGATCAAGGCAAAACAAACACGTGAATATACGAATAATGCAGTGAATTGCAGGAAAGGGCTCATGAAGCAGCCAGACATGGAAACAAAGCATTGCTCTTGCTTGTACAGCTACACATGTTTAGGAAGCCCACTCGGGAATCTTGGTGATGACAGCACTCACATGCCACCCTCATCAGGCCTGCCAGATTTCTGGTATTTTATAAATCCTGTTGAAATCTGCTCTTCATTGGTTCTGCAAAGGCGTTCTGCTCAGTCTTCATGGGGAGACTCTCTGCTCTGCTGACAGGGATTTGTCTGTGCTCCTCCTCATCCATTAGAGGAGGCCAGACCATGATGCTACTTTGGAAGCATATCCCAATTCACCATGACCAGGGCATTCAGTGGTGAAAAGCTTTGGGTCTGTCACTAACTGATTTTAGAAGAATGACAAGCGAGTTTCCAAAAAATACTGATCTCTGAATTACTTCTGTCACCTGCTATGCTTATTTTTAAGATCAACTGGAGAGCATTATCTGATATATTTTTTTAGAATTTAAGTATCAAGTAGCTAAAATCTACATTACAATACTGGAGGATGATACTGTTTATTTATACGCACACATGTTTATACTCTCAAGTAACTGTCACACAGTTCTGAATATAAAAATAAGGACAAAGATTGTCTCAGTCTGTATTTTATAAACTGTAAAGTACACAGAGAAAGCTATATAATTAATGATAACAAACAAAGAGGAACGTTTGTAAAATTAGCAGAAACGTGGCTTCTTTAAAAAATGGGGCATATCAGAGGCTGATATAAGCAGAGTAGCAGCATT